CCCCCCCCCCCCCCCCCCCCCGTCATGTGTCCACGAGAAGTTTTCGCGAAGATTGCGCGTGACTTTCAAATGATTTCTTTTTTATTTTGAACCCAAATGGTATACGGAATGGTTTTTCGTCCCAAATGGGACAAATTTTGTCAACTTTTCGATTTGGTCTATTCTACAATGAAGTACTCTTGGATACTGTAATCTGGGACCGGCTAAACGGATCGAGAGTTATGAAGTGGAGAGTTATCTCGGAGAGTTATCATTTCGGAGAGTTATGTTCGAACCACGCCCAAACCACGCCCACTTTCCCCAACGACCACACCCAATTTTTTAACTCTCTCGACGTTTCCTTGAACTAACATGAGAGAGTTATGTTTGACGTAACTCTCTCTCGTTAACATTATGAAGATGTTAGAGAGTTATCATTCTTTATAACTCTCCGCGTTCATGATTGTCGCAATGAAAAGAGTTATGGCAGTTTTTTGAAAAACACTTCCACTTCCTTTTTTCTCACGTGTCAGTTTTAACATTTCACGCTAGTAGAAACTAATATATAGTACTTTAGTACTTACCAAGTTCATCTATACGTAAATGTTTATATACATGCTCACTTGGATTATCTAGCAAGACCAGCATTCAGATACAGCTCTTGTATTATATTGCACCAGAAAATCTTTCCATTGTAATGTCCTATTGGCTGATCTCGGAAAGTATTTCCAAAACCTGAATTGCTCAGTGAAAGATTCGATTTTCTTAATTTTCTTGCAACTATGCTTACCGTATGCATGCTTTTGGGGGTACTTTGACCCTTCTGATGCAAGCATCTAGCTCTTTGTTTTGACCGAGTCAAGTTGTATTTCCTGTTTGGACGCACGCTATTGACACGCTACAAACTGAAATACCAACATATATGATGAAAATATGAAGAAACAAGCTTTACTAGGGTTTTCTCAAAAAACTGACTTAACTCTATTCATTGCCATAATCGTGAACGCGGAGAGTTATAAAAAATGATAACTCTCTAACATCTTCAAAATGTTAACGAGAGAGAGTTACATCAAACATAACTCTCTCATGTTAGTTCAAGGAAACGTCGGGAGAGTTAAGAAATTGGGTGTGGTCGTTGGGGAAAGTGGGCGTGGTTTGAACGTAACTCTCCGAAATCATAACTCTCCGAGATAACTCTCCTGTTGGTAACTCTCCCTTTGGTCATACCCCTGTAATCTAAGTACATATGAGAATGGAGCAGTGGCATTTATCGAACAGAGAAGCGGCGAGCCATTAAAATGGCGCCAATTTGACGAAATATCGAATGACACAATATCGAAGATAAAATACACTGCACAGTTCCAAAACTTCATGAAACTTGGGTGAAATACTCTTTAGCCATTTATGATTAAGGAAAAGTACAACGACTGGATGATATTTGCAAGACTCGGCGATAAAAAGCAAACAAGACGGCAACATATGGCTGAAATCGTGTTTTCGTGGGGGGTAAGTGAAACAAAATGTGTTATATTAAAATAAAATACTGACAATCCTTATGAAATCCACAATAATTATATTGAACTAAGCATAGTTTTTTATTCCATGATATTTTTTTTTAGGAAATAAGAAAATTTAATTTTTGCTAGGCATATTAGTTATTTTGTGTATAATCAGCATTTTATCTGGAGTGGTGCATGGTCATTTTCTGGTAAAATATTATACTTAGACAAATTCTTCCTTCCAATAACCACCCCTAAAAGCAACCCTTCTAAACACTACAAGCACTTCAGAAAGGCTATTGCTTTTTCTTTTCGGAAGTTAGAGCTATCTCGACACTGCCGTTTCAGGGCGGGGTCATTTTCAGGACTTTCGCCCTGGATTCAGGTTTTCGCACATATGCCATGTTGATCGCCATGGTCATTTTACCCTAGAACAGTTGAGATTACCTGTCCTAAATGAATCGCATACAAACTCATATACAGGTCCTAGACTACATGGAAGAATATGGAAATTTTGTTAAAAGGTCATAAAAGAAAACCAAATAACTCCTGCGATTTATTACATATACATACGTGTATAGGTTTTTGGTCAACGAAACGCAAAGAGTGCTCGATAACATATAGTCAGAGCAAATATCGATAAATCTTTCTCGACACGACTCTATTAACGTATTCCTTCAAAGCAATATGCGACTTCCAGATTCAATATCTTCAATTCGATGCATGCCATGTAGATAAAAGTACCACCGTTCGATTCAGTGAAACAATATCTCCTAATACTTATCGATACTATAGTCTTATTCGAAACAGAATCAAAAACACTATTGAAACTGTTATTTTCAAGCTTGTAGCTTTAGTTTTTCGTCTTTTATTTCGGTATTTCAATCTGTTGCGAAACTAATGAAATCAGCGGGATATTTTTAACCGGAAATACACTTAGATCTGCCAAAACATCGCGTGTTTACATCCTAGCGCTCGGAAAACATCGGAAATCGATTCTAAAGGTCAAATTACATCGGTAGCGTGATTTTTACCGGTATTAGGCTACCGGATACTCCTTATTGGCCAATTTTACTTGCAGCACGCGCGTGCGAGTAAAATTAAACACGATGAAACCCGATATTTTGAAAAAATCAAAATAAACATATTTCTACTCGCCGTATTCAAACGAAATTTTCTGCATAAAAGCGCTTGAATACAAGGAATATTTCACTAACATTATAACTTGCGGCGAATTCTGAAGAGTTTAGAAAATATTCAACTTTTTCTCCATATGAAAATACAGAATGTTTGGCCAAGCGGTGAGTAAATATATGATTGTTTCGGTTTATGTATTTGTTTTGACGGCATTAGACCCCCTTATGAAAAGCTCATTTTGTTAGTATTTCAATGGTGTTCTTTGTTTTTAAGGGGGTGCATACGCGCTGAAATATTTACGTTATAAAAAAGTTGAATCAAAATATTGCTTGCCGTGAAAAATGTCGCATGTCGAGAAAGAGTAACTCAATGAAACGGGTATAAACAGTATGATTAAATCAGGATTTTATTATGACTGCAAATAACTCATAACATCACCAAAGTTTGATTTCACAGACAAAATCATGGTTGCTACTACAGCTCGCATCATTCCATCTAGCCGTGTTTGTATACATGACAACACAGTTTTCGTTTCCACCACTGTTGTTTGGCTCTCCGCTATTCCAGTTGGTGTAGACTTGATCTCTTCCTTCAACGTTGATAAAACGTTTTTCATATCGCCTAAAAAGAGAAAAAAGGCGGTGACAGAAACTTACTGAACAGTACGGAAAGTTTTGAGTAAATTGTTGAAATCTTCCTGGTCTTGCTTGTCGTCACAATGTATATATTTTCTGAGGTCATATGACATTGAAATTAAAACTTGACTAAACACGCTTGCTTTTTGTGGATATTTGTGATTGAATTTGAACGCATTTTAATTTATTCATTTATTTTGTGTAAAAGGTTTTTAAATAACATTTCTTTCAATAAAAGAACTTTTTAGCTGATTTAGTGTTGCGTGAATAACAAAGTTCGATATATTACATAAGATTGTCGCGCAGTTAATTTTTCAGAATATTGGATAATCTGTTTCATTTCCATATATTCAAGCCTTACCTAAAAATGCCAACCCAGGTTTGTCGTGAGCCTCCATTACGGGCAAATTTGCTGATAAGAGCATTTGTTTGTCTGGTAGGAAGGGCTAGATCTCCTCCCTGTCCAAGGCATGTGCTCCGGGCGTTGTCCCATTTGTCTTGAGAAACGAAGAATTTATAGCAGTTTCCCTCGATTTTGCTCCAACCACAGGGACAAGGAGAATCTATATATATATGTATAATAGAGAAAATAAAAATGTTGATATCTACTATTAACCATGCAGCAATCAGTCAGGTAAACTACATAAGAACAAAGTTTTGATAAAATTTAGCTCTTCGTATTTGAGAGCTGACAGATGATAGGATTCCTAGGTAGATATAAGCATGTGAATGCATGATTTACCATACAATTTAGCCGTTAATATCGATCATGATTCCCTTTTGGTCATGCCGGCTTATATTTCGTTTAGAAACACCAGCAGCAAGGCTGTTTACAGAGAATGGAATGCAGTTTTGCATATCCGTATACCTCTTTGCGCTTTAGTCGCAAAAAATTCTCATGGGCTTCATTCTAAATTTCAACATATAGTTTTGATGATCTTTCGAAATGCCGCATATCAACGATTTCTTAACAACATGCATGTATAAGACGCGATGGACAACTAAATTTCACGCATTTTCATAACAGAAGCTTGCATTCTGTTCCACAGTTTTCTAGAGTCCTCTTAAGTTGAACATCTCCACAGCATCTTCCGCTATATATTTGCAAACACGAAAATATGAATAACTGAATCCTACTATATTTGCACCTGCATGGCCCAAGAAGATTGCATGTCACTGAAGTGGCATGCAGTCCTCTCCATTTCAACTTACTTGTGCAAAGCGAAAGTTGGAAGCAACAAATAGCGACAACGACCAGCAAACTGAACATCATTTTCTGACTGTTATTCAAGGTCCAAAAATTAGAATTCTTCCGTATTTTTCTTTGCTGCTTACTTCGACAGATGAAATGCGTAGTGCACACACTCCTTATATAGTCAGTGTTTGACTCTGGCTAATTTCCACTCAGGAGAATATATCTCGGGACGGCAGCAGACAGGAAAGTTTACTTTCCGTGTACCTGTCATATTAGTTCCAGTAGGGAGCACATAAGACAAAGGAAACTTGTACTTTATAGGAGGGTGGAAATCAACCGGAAGAGTTTGTGTTAGACTGTATTGCACTGCATGGATTCATACGGAGTTTGCATTTTTTAAATAATTGGTTACGTCTTCAACAGAAGATATCTATTTGACCAACACGTATAAATTGTCGCATATTAATAAAGATATAACCAAGCTTAATTTTGGCGTGCAAGAAATGATTCGCTAAATGCTTACTTAAACACGTCAGGTTTATTGAAGTCATGAAGGCACACTTGTGGCACCGATATTGACATGTTGATAGTGTGGTTAAGATGGGGTGTATGCATCGCAGAACTTTCAATCGCATTAAACATGCAAGTGGTTTATCCTGTAGACGCTTGAATAATTAATCATTCTTTGGTAATCCTCAATAGCATGCAACGGCCGAAATTGGAAGAAAATCAAAAATCAAAAACGCTTCAGTCAACCCACAGGCAGCCAAATCTTACCCTGTGTTATTAATTTATTACGTTATCTCTTTATATAATAGTATATTAAAAATCATTAGAAAATCCTGTGTTATTAATTTATTACGTTATATCTTTATATAAAAGTATAATGAAAAGCACTTACATGTGTTTCCTGAAAGATTTTAACGCGAACCGGCCAAGATTGGCGTTCACAAGAGGTTAACGGCTATAGTTGGAGTTGACATGAGGATTACAGCAGGAAATAATACAAGGCTGGTCATTTTGACCGTTAATTGGACTAATTGGGACAAACGCTGACAGAAATCAATCGAATACAACAACAGGACATTCGCAGAGGCCATTCGCTAACTCCCCAAACGTTCGGTCTCTTACCGGAAATGTCCTGTTGTTGTTTTGAAAGTCGACCAATGACAATGCAGCGTGTAATTCGAATTTGAAGGCCATCAATTCAGATCCGTCACGAACCTCGGAATATTAGACATTTGTAATTTTCAATTGGCATTTTGTGCAGGAAGATTATTGTTAAATACTGTTAAAGAAAAGTATATTATGTACCTTCCGATGTAACGTAATTTGGCGAGGATTCGACATCCGAAGTTCGCGTTATTCGATTAATTTCTGTCAGCGTTTGTCCCAATTAGTCGAATTAACGGTCAAAGTGACCAGCCTTGTATTATTTCCTGCTGTTATCCTCATGTCAACCCCAACTATGGCCGTTAACCTCTTGTCAACGCCAATCTTGGCCGGTTCTCGTTAAATTCTTTCAGGAAACACATGTAAGTGCTTTTCATTATACTTTTATATAAAGATATAACATAATTAACTAATAACACAGGATTTTCTAATGATTTTTAATATACTATTCTATAAAGATATAACGTAATAAATTAATAACACAGGGTAAGATTGGACCCTTGTGTTCAAACTTATAATTATCATAATTTGGGGTTTAAACATTCCACATATCCTTCCTCATTATATGTGCGTTCCTGCCTCAACATGGTCACCCTTCAATTCTAGCCAGAGTGAAGACGTCTACGACTGAAGCTCTTTTAATTAAATTCTATAATGTTCAATAGAAGATATCTATTTGACCAACAGGTATAAATTATCGCATATTAATAAAGATATAACCCAGCTTTTGGCGTGCAGAAAATGATTCGCTAAATGCTCACTTAAACACATCAAGTGCATTGACATGTTGATAGTGTGGTTAAGAAAACTCTTTGGCGACCGTATGGTTTCGCATTAATTTTTCTATTGTAAATATCTCGGCGAGTATTTACCCCCCTTTGCCACCATTGAAATCCTCACAAAATAACCTTTCGAACGGGGGGTCAAGTGCCGTCAAAACATTACACAAACCAAAACAATCATATATTTACTCACCGCTTGGGCAAAGATTCTGAATTTCATATCCAGATAATCTTGAATATCTCTTGAACTTTTCTTCATGTCTGAGCGGTTATATGTGTAAAATACTCTTTGTATTCAAGCGCTTTCGTGTACAAAATTTCGTTTGAATACGGCGAGTAGAAATATTTATTTTGAATTTTTCAAGATGCCGGTTTTACTAGCACTTGCGTACATTGCGCAATAATTGGCCAATAAGAAGCTCTTGTGGCCGGGATGACGTCAAACTCACTCGTGTAGGGGCAATTTGACCTGTAAAATCATTTCTGGCATTTACAAGGTCATACGATACAAACGTCGCATTGTTTTGACGGTTTTTAATCGTACTTCCGGTTGGGATTAACTCACTTCGACCTCACAGTCGGACAAGAAATGGAAATATATTGATAAAATATACAGATTTGATCCTCTCGCGGATGAATGATTTGGGTTGGGCCGCTAAAGAGTTAAAACAAGTACTTTATCCTGTAGACGGTTGAATAATCATTCTTTGGTAATCCTCAACAGCATGTAACCTGCAAAATTGGGAAAAAAATCATGGAACGCTTCAGTCAATCTTATAATTATCATAATTTGGGGTTTAAACCTTCCACAAAGTCTTCCTCATTATGTGCGTTCCTGCCTCAACATGGTCGCCCTTCAATTCTAGCCAGAGTGAAGACGTCTAAGACTGAAGCTCTTTTAATTAAACTCTATGTTTAATAGAAGATATTTATTTGACCAACACGTATAAATTATCGCATATTAATATAGATATAACCGAGCTTTTGGCGTGCAGAAAATGCATGATTCGCTAAATGCTCACTTAAACACATCAGGTGCATTGACATATTGATAGTGTGGTTAAGATGCGGTGCATGCATGACAGATATTTGAATCGCATTAAACGAGTGCTTTATCCTGTAGACGGTTGAATAATCATTCTTTGGTAATCCTCAATAGCATGCAACGTCCGAAATTGGAACAAATCATGAAACGCTCCATAAACCTTATCAGTTATCACTCTTGCTAATGATTAAATTAAAAGAACTATTTTAGTCTTCAGCAGGGTCAGAGATGTTCTTTGCTGGCTTCAGTGAGGACATTTCCTAATCCTTATATAGAAACAATGTACACATTATAGATCGAAGGGTCGTGTTACAATAATCACACTGGACCATATAAGCTGTATTTGCTCTGTTCTCTGGAATGTGGTCAAGGCATGAACTATTTATCAAGTGGAATAAATCATCAATATTTCGTTCGCAATAACCATTTGTTTGTTATATTTCAGAGAAAATTTTTTAGTTTTGAGTTCGCGCGTTCTAATTGTCAAAGTTCTGGCCTGCAAGCAAACGTTCTTGTGAAAACTGAGGCGAGTACGAGAAAGGATGTCTGCGGACAAACCTGGTAATTGAGCTTCCGCCCCCTTCCATAAATTATTTAAAAATTTCCCACTCTCCTGCATCAATTAATTGGATATTATTTTCCGCCGTCCTGCCGTCCTCTCGCCAAAGAAACTGGTCTAAAAATCAAACTATTATCTGCTATTCATCAGTCCCACTTTCCCGAATGTTTTGACACAAAAATACGACATCACACATGTGAATGAACAAGAAAATATACAGTGTTCTTGTATGCCGTGCATTGGGCAAGCAATACAAATTGATATACACTATTAAAATCATTGCCTTATATTGAATGTACGGTTGTGTCTCTAAAATTAGAACAGCAACAAATGAAACTTTGAATAAGAAATCCGCTCATTGCGACAAATACAACCTTGAATACAACTCGGTCAAATATTAAACTGGACTTTAATAATATACATTTTAATAAACAAGGGTACCATAAACAAAACACAGTTTAAATTATTTACAAAAATTTCTGAAACAACAAATTCTGAAACGCAGAACGGTGGTATATTCGCTACATCGAGCAAAAAATACGATCATATTACTCCGTTAATGAAACAATTACATTGGCTCCCCATCAGTCAACGCATCATCTATAAAATTGTTCTTATTACGTATAATCCCCTGAATGGTTTAGCTCCACATTACATTAATAACATGCTAAAACCTTTCACACCATCAGAAAATTTACGGTCCTCATCTAAAGGATTCCTAACCATACACTCAGTAAGACTAGAGAACTATGGTGAACGATCGTTCTCACTAGTGCTGCACCGAAATTGTGGGACGAACTGCAAGAGTATATTAGAAAGAGTGAGACCTTGCCATTTTTAATATCAGATTAAAGACATATCTTTTTAAACAGCGATCTAAATGAGGCGTTTTTGCTATAATTTTGTTGGTATGTACCAGACATATGATACCAGAGCAAATTTTTTCTACGGCCATTGAGTTTAGTGCAAGTAATCAGTGTGATCAGATTTTTTCAGCGATCATTAACAAAATTTTCTCCAAATTATACTAAATTAAGAAAAATTTTACCAAATGTCGGCTTCCCAAATAATTACGTCATAATAATGCCAAAAATAGGTACGCATTGCGTACATGTGGGTAGCCGAAAGTTAGATAAAAAATAGATACAAACTGAGCAGGCTATGAAACTAGTGGACAGATCCAGAAGTAATATAAATATATATATATATTTTTGACAATGCGTACATTACAATTAATTCTTGATAGCAATGGTACTTTAATAATTCAACTGAGGAAGAATTTGACTTTAATTGTTCAAGACAGTGAGTTCATTCATTTACTATGTTCATTCATTTACTATGTTCATTCATTTAACTATATTAATAATAGGACAAATGGCATTTATAAAATTTGTCCATATTAGCACGCTTTTTACGAGCATGTCAAATAATCCAGTCATCCTTGGTAAACATTTCAGTTGTAAAGATTTATGTCACAAAACATCCAGTTAAAGATTGCTGGCGTTTACTGCACTGCTGACTTTGAACAGAGTTCATGAAACATTTTTCTTGTTGTTTTGATACCATAATGATTGTAGTTGCCACTATTTCAACAATATTATCTCAATTTTTGGTTCCACCAACAACAGCGTCATCAGTAA